TTCTAAACAATTTCAAATTGAACCAAAGCGCTGCCGAAATAGCCCGAAAAATTAACCGGGCGTTTCACAATGACAGTGTTTCCTGCAAATCATTGTTTCAAAAGTTATTCGGGGTGGCTCGTTTTCAACTCAAATAATTTGTAGCTCCCAAACCATAAGCTTCTGACCATATGTTTTATACTTCGTTGAAATCTGCTCACCATGGAGCATATGATAATGCGAAACAATATAGGGTGATCCATTTAAAGAAAAATGGTGACATGCTCTGGGAGTGCGATAAGGGAAGTAACATGAAATGTGAATATGTCAAAATGTGTCCCTCTGTATACTATTGTTGACCTGGTTTTTTATTCTTCCTGAAAATCATTCTACCAAAAGTTATTCAGGGTAGCTCGTTTCAAATGAAACGTACTGTATATTCTGTTGTCTGCGATTTTTCAACATTATGACACCTAGTATGAACCCAATATCTTTCTGTCTGTTAGTATTTTCATTTCTCAAGATGAGCAATTATCGTTATCACTCTCATTTTCATAAATGCCCTTAGTGCAACCTGGCTGTGAAAATCTTCAGTCATTTCGCTGAAACCAATTAAATTCTACCCATATCATCCATATCATGTTCGGATTTCGACCCGTAACCCAAAATGTTTTCGAAGGGGTAACTTGGTATCATATGATCTTTGGATATGTTTGGAATTCGTTGCTACACATATTTAACGATTTATTATCTTTTCGATCCATTATATGTTGTCCCACTCTTTCAATTCTGCGTATAACAAGATGTGAATAGGGTAGGTTCAACAGGGTCAATAATACTCCTTTCGATTTCGGTACAAAAAGCAAGAACTTACATCCTGATTAGTTTTTCAATGAGACTTGTGCTATAGTAGATCACAAAACCAAAAGTGTACCTATAAGTTATCAGGGATACAATGCACCATGTTTGACTTCCATTCTCGAATCTTATCATTCTTTATCGGCCAGCATCAGTTCTTTCCCAAAGTTAAATCTCTTCACTTTGGAGTTTCATAAAACCCTATTTCTTTATTTTCTTTCCTTTAGCCAACTGTTACTTTGGTCAATTTGTTATTCCCATCTACATACTCTAGTACAGACGTAAATAGTCCCCCGTCACAACTTTCAAGCTGATCAAGATATCAAGTTCTGACTAAGTTTCTGATAAGGAAGACAATAGTGTTGCATCCCTCGTCGCCGGAAGGATGCTACAAACTCTTATTTTCGAATAGAAAAAGAAAATCTTCTTCATTTTTGTGAATCGGATGAACCTTTTCTATACAATTTCATAAACTACAACTCACAACATTCACTCCTTGACAGTGATAAATTATGTTAACAAATGTATTTTCTACATTACAAAATGTTACTGGGGTAATTCCGTTACAAATACGATTTCTATCCACGAGTCATGAAATGAACTGCGGTTGTGTATTGTACACTTCAAATGTCACGTATCCCCTCGAAAATAAACCCAAATGATGAGGTACCAGCAAGGTGAGGTCTGCTTCATTATTATAGGCTGGTTTGAAAGTGGCTAGTAACAATTGTCCAAACCGAAGGATAGACAAACTTGGATCCCTCAGAATTACCCGCTAAAATATTTTTTTTTGTGGGGCCTTCCGGAATCTGAAATGTATGCAATACGTAGGTATTTCGAACGAAACCATGATTTTTAAAATAAATTTGCACATTTTTAAAGCGTTGTTCAGGCGTCAGTCTATTCATTTTGAAATGCTAAATCAAATTGATCATATTTCACTTGACAGCTGACAAAATGGCCGCCAGTTAAAAAAGTGTTGTCAACTTGAAATTATATACCTCTATAAAAAACCAGAGTATAAGGGGTGCTACTAACGGAGTGAGTTTTGAATAAGTTTTTCTTGAAATTAGGATATTTATTGAAAATTTAATCAACATTGAAATCTCTTGCTGAAATAAGTGGCAACGTATGACAATTTTCTCCTAATTCTTCAGAGCCTACTCGACCGTAAATGTATGCTCGCATCTCTTTCTCTCTTACCCCTATAGTAATATATGAAACGTAACTCTTTCTTTCTTCACTAACTAATACCTCCCTCTCACGCCCGATCACACTTTTCGTAAAGTTCTCGACTCACCAGCTTTCTCCACAAGTCAAGCGCGCGTAAAGAAGTTTCACTTCAGAAATCTTCCTTCTCGAGCCTTCATGCTGAATATCATAAACTAGAAATGGCAGCATAGAGAAAGAAGCATTTTGCTAACATGGTAAATACTGTTGACCAGTTATTCATATTAGGAAAAAATTCTGCAAATAATTCAAAGAAGCTACTACTTTTATGCAGAAAGCAGAAAGTTCCTAGTACCAACTAGTAGCATTCCAATCAAGAACAGTATGACGTAATTTTGAGAAAGAATAGGAAATGAATACTACGTATCATGAAAAGAAGGAGAATTCTACATCCAGTAGTGAAATGGTTCCGAAAGTCGACAAGAAAGGTTTCAATGAAACAGTCTCCAATCACAGTAAAACAGAAGGTATGATAAGTTATTTTTGCTTGGAGATAGAATATTTGAATTGGAAAGTGGTCGAAAGAAAGAAACGATATTCATCAGAGATGATTAGGAGCATTCTGAATGATGCTAATCAATCAAATACCTATACGCGCGAAGCAACTAGTAAAACAAGTTGGATTGAAAATTTGATTTGAACAAAAGTCAACTGAACAAATGGCCAAGGAAGATATCAAATATTATTCATTCTGAAACTTTTATTATTATCGTTCATGCAAATGTTTTCAAAGAAAGCAGCCATGCATTGAACGGGAAAGTAAATACATTTATTGTTGGTTACAAAGCATATAGACCACTTCAAAAAGGTACTAGTAGAGTCGTTATGAGCAGAGATGTAACTGTTCCAGGAGAAGCTCATAACAAAATTAAAACATCCTTTGATCAACAAACTGAAAGTATTCATGAAATAATACACGAATACTTACGTCAAATTCAATTTAAAAAAACTATCTGCATATGACCTTCCGAAGAACTATCACTAACTTGCCATTTCTGAAAGAGAACATATTTTTTAACTTTGCTTTCAGAAAAGTCAACATCTGTCATTTCGAATAAATTGTAATGTTGGCCAAATGATCCAAATCTGCCAAAAACAGCATCCTTATTTCTCAACATTCATATGATAGATTGTTAAATAAATGAAAGAAAAAGTAATGATTTTGATTACATTATTCTCTCTCTATATATATATTTTGGATGGCCGTTGCTTCCCACTCGGGTACATTAGGCCAGGCACCTCCAATTTAGGTTGCCAGGTGCTTCTTCGGGGGGCGCAGCGGTCTTGCACAAAGCATTGCCGCCACCCGATTTTTTCAAACTTTTTTTATACGAAAACAAGTACATTTTTTATCAAGTTGCTTCCTGCTCAAGATACCTTTTGTTTTTTTTGCATATACAGCCCCCTTTACGTGGTTATCCGAACCACCCTGGCCTGGATACCGGCGTGAATAAAGGGGGTCCCTTATTTTTCACTTTTTGAAAAGACTCTCACACGTTTTGATTATCAACACAATGGACTAATACACAACACAAAACGGAGCCCCACGGTAGTACATGGCGGACGTTATCAGCACATCCATCCACTGCTACGGCCACCACGAAACTCTCTGATTACATTATTTTTCAGGAATGTACACAAACACTGGAGGGAAATTTCCAATACGATAGGAGACTATTGATATTTCGGGGACTGGCAATACTAATTTCAATAGGCAAAATGTGGCAACACCATGATAAAGTTTGACATTTTTTAACATGAACATACTCACAATATTTTGATATACAAGTGCAATTTGTTTTGTTTGCAGGGAATTGAGAGAATCAATTTGACCAAGAAATGGAAATTCCAGTAGAAAGTGAATTATTTTTCACAACTTTCGACGTGGATTATCTCAACAAGAAAGTGTCGATGAACTCAGTTCTTTATATGGCGATAAAGCATTATCAAAAACCACAGAGTTTCGCTGATATAGTGAATTCAATCGTGGTCGTAGTTGGTCGCCGATGAATTCCGTGTAGGTCGTCCAGAACCGGTTGTTGTGCCACAAAACATCGATACATTGCATGAACAGATAACGCAAGATCGTCATGTGACATATTGGGAGATAGAAGCATGTTTGCACATCAGTTTCACTTTAATATATTCGATTTTGCATCAACACTTAGTTGTAAAAAATGGTTATCGTTGGATCCCCCGTAATTTATCAATCGTGTTTTGAGGAAATGATCAAAATCATTGATATATGCGTATTAGCCGAAAACTAAACAGCAAACGACCGTTTGAGTATTCCAAGACGAGCTAAATTCAACAAAAGTTTTTCGTGGAAGAAACACATCGAAGCAAGTAGTCGCCTGTTTCTTCGGCCGAACGGGTCTTGTGGGTAATGTTTTGCTTAAGCAATGTAGAACAGTCAATTCTGAGTCATACACGACCAATTGTTTGTCGAAAGTCTTCGGAGAAATTCGTGAAACTAACCGTCGAATGAGAATAAAGTGCTAATTAGGTGTAGGTGCTAATTAGGTTATAGTAAATCTAGATTCCATAATTCATATGGAGCTTATGGACCCGATAACCACCATGGACACGATAACAACCATTAAAAAAATGTTTAAAATATGTTTTTCCGTTAACCAGCTATCGCACCTCTTCGAACGATAATCCTCAGAAATCAAAACTTGTGCGAGCTAAGAATTAATGAGGTCTTACCTTTTAAAGTGTGATTCCGACCGACCGACCGGTCGGTAGCCGGGCGGTTCGACGTGGATGCTTTGTTCGCTCAGTCAATCGACCGATGTGTGAGTCGATGGTTCAAGCCCAAGACTGAACGCTCAATTTTCACTTGCTATCGACTAACCCTTGTTAGGAATCACACGTTAAAAAGTAAGACCTCGTTACTTCTTAGCTCGCACAAATTTCGATTTCTGAGGGTTATCGTTTGTTGGGGTACGATAGCTGGTTAACGAAAGAAACATATTTTAAACATTTTTTTAATGGTGGTTATCGGGTCCATGGTGATTATCGGGTCCATGAGCCCCATATGAATTATGGAATCTAGATTTACTATAAATTTCTAATGAGCACCTAATTAGCACTTTATTCTCATACCATTACTTATCGAGGAACGTACTGTAAGAACTCAGTCCATCAGTCATAGTGGTTTTCCATAATGCCCCATAGGCATTATGGAATCTAGGTTTACTATTATATATCTGGTGAGCACCTCATTATCACTTTATTTTGATTGTCTAAGACTTTATTGTTAATTTTTTTTCCCAAATCAGGTATCTCGAATTTTTTTTCACTTATTTGCGGTCGTTTTCATCTTAATTTCTTGCAAGCACCTAATTAGCACTTTATTACCACGCTTAGTTTATACCTGATAGAGCATTCGTCCTCGTTTTCGAGAGACCTGATTCTTAGATCTGTTGTTTAGCTAAATTGGAAGCTTTTATTTAATAATCAGAAAATTTTACGATCCTCACCGTTTAGCACCCAATTAGCACCTAATAGTGTTCCCTTAACATTCAATATTCTATTAATATTTTCATTGCGTTGCTAGCACCACATACTGCTGCTAGCAACGCAACTTTGAGTATTGAGTTGCGGTGTAAGTTACAGAGAACCTAATTTTTGACTTCGGTACCTAAACAGCACCTAAAAAGTACCTAAGTTTGGCATTTTCTGAATGCGATGTCCGTACTTTGCGTTGCTGGCGTAACAGACCTGGGACTGAAACGAATGGATCGACTGAACACTTCCCGAGAAAGTTACTATAGAAAAAAACGAATCCCCAACGGTTCTAAGTTTCTCCAGATTATCAAATTTGTGAAGTTAGGATCTCCTACAGCGTGATTCTTGATAATGAATTATAGATGCGAGTAAACATTTCGTGAAGGTTTGATATACCTGTGAAGGTTTGATATACAAACTGGGGTCTAAAAGCACTTTCACTAGAAAAATTTCACTCTCAAATACAGTAGATAGTTGTCCTGAAAATCTTGCAAAGAAAATTGGATTATATAATAGAGGAAACACTTGCTATATGAATAGCTTTTTACGAGTGTTGGTCATGACGTAGAATTTCAAGAACGAAGTTTTAACGATGAACGAGAATGAGAATGTTTCCTACTTATTCACCATACTCAAACAATTATTCATGCAGTTGCAGTTTCGGAAGAATGTATCATTTTTCCCACCGACCGATTTCCTGGAGTCCTTGAAGTCCACTAGATACTCTTTAGGATAACAAAAGTATTGTTTCGAATTCTTTGGGTCTTGTTGAATACTCTTCGTGAGCAAAAAATAGCAGAATCAATACCCCTAACCGCTTTGAATTGAATGATTACGTACAGTCTATCTTGTCTTGAGTTTGTAGATCTTTTGGTGAAAAAATCTCATTCGTTTATTTTGTATTTGATATTCAAGAGGTAGAAAAAATATTTAAGATTTTCTGGAACTTTAACTAGCATTTCCGAATATGACTGATAACCAGTCCGTGCAAAGCTTATGGTTAAATCATATGAAAATGGAACTTTCAACGGGTGATGATCAACTGTATTGCCAAACATACGACAAACTAACAGAGTATTATGAGAAAGCAAGTATATCTGAGGCATCAGTCAATCTTATAATAACACAGATGATCGTCGAACATGAATCAACATCTGATGGAAGCAGCAAACTCTTACAATGGCTCGAAATAGATTAACACTTCAATCTAGCAGACCACTATTATAATCTTCATGCAGTTATTGTTCACTGTGGTTTTGACGTTGAATCTGACGTCATTAGTACGCATTGGTCAAAGACGAAACGGACTGGTTTAAGTTTGAAGATAATGGAGAGAATGTTCGCCAGAACACTAAGTGTTCTGGCGATGTCTTGAATTTATTGAAGCCTCTGGAGACACCATACATTTTGTTTTATGAAAGAGAAGATATTGGCAGATCAAGATCTTCAGATGATGTGGTGCTGCAGGGTTTTCCGAGTTTTTTTGCGACTCTCGAATCAATGAAGTCGCCCTGGAGCGCCAAATAATTTTTTTGTTTCATAATTTCATGATTTGTATTACTTTCTTCTTTACACTATTATGGAGCAGATTCGACTCATGCAGAGCTTTTTTACATGATTGAGTGAGTCGATTTCTGGAGATATATGTGTAAGGTTGCTATTGGGACTAGTTAATCATCCGAAACTTATGGAAATTCACCTACAGATTTAAAATTTTTCTTACAAGTAAACTATTTCATCAATTCTCTTTTATATGTAATGTTTCATAGCATTCCTGTGTATAATATCTATTTCAATTCTATTATGAATATTCGATGTACAAACTGAATGAGAAAAAGTAGTTCTGTATCATTGAATATCCTTAAATGAAAGTAGTTTTTTCCGATTGATGTTTTGTTATTTTTTTTTTTTTTTGGAAATTATATATGTTATTAGGTCAGAGCTACCAAATATTACTGATAAAGCCCCACTGTTTTCCTATTTTCGTCAAATGTGGCATCTTAATATCCAGTAGCTTTTCATAAATGAAAAATATCTTTATAACATGTCCAATGTCCAATCATGATGATATTATCAAAAATAGAAAAATATATAGAGGAAAGTACAGAAGAAACACCTGTACCGAAGTAATTTTAGAGAAATTTGACAGATATTTCATCAGTTTCTGCCGTTATTTTGCGAGACATTACAATTGAAATGATAATGGGGACTTCTGAGAATGCAATTTTGAATATTGCACAACTTTGAAAAATTTTCAAAATTGAGAATACAATTATAAAAACATTTGTTTAATATTAGTGGGAGAAGAATATTAGGAATACAAAGTGAACTGAAACCCAATAATATTTTTTATTTAGATGATTTAGATATATGATAATGGAAACCTCTATTTTTCTCCTAGAATTCATGCAGACAGGATTTTTGAGAACGCTCATCATTTGTGAAGGGTCTTTAATGACATATATTGAAGTAACCTTACATTGCGACCTGCCATATATGATTTTGAGGTACAATTCAACGGTTTGTTATGCTCGAGTGCAAATGATCTTGCTATTTTGAATATCGCTTTGTGAGATGTGGTCGTTGTTTGATCAGTCTCCTAGTTTGACCAGTATGTGACTGATTGCAATCTGTACTGGAAACAGCATAGACGATACCTGGATTGTGCGTTGATGGAGTTCCGACTTTCAATTTCGAAAACATATTTTCATCATCAGAGTATTTTTGAAAAACATTGTTTATGCCTCATGATAGATAGATGATCAATATTTAGAATTGAGAAATATATGGAAATAATGATGGGTAACGATCAACGGTTAAAAATCAAGCTATTGACTAGCAGTGGATAGTAACCTCTTTGATATAACTCGATATTTCAGCAGATTCTTATTTCAGAAACGTTGAAATGGGTATATACGAAGTTGGTTCAAATAATGAGGTGAATTTCCAGTTTTCTTAAAAAATTATGTATTCTTTCGTCAATTTTTGTTTTTTTCACTTCGAAGTAGTCCTCCTTCAATTTTGGAAACAAGAAAAAATCGAAGGGGGTCGAATCTGGTGAATATGGTGGCGTATGCATGAATACCGTGTTATTTTTGAAGAGGCATAAGCCTATAACAGGGCCCCTCCTTATATCATTATACCTATGTAACTCATACTGTCAACTATAAATGAATAAACTTCGAAAACAATCAAGCCAAAAATTTACGGACAAGCAATGACGGATGAGCAGGTGCATCATCGTAGCCAGCGTGTTCAGATATTTTCATAGGCAGCATTCGATAACTGATTACTATTGATTCCATCAGAATGAAAAAAAATTCACTTTTGTACCATCCTTTCCTGCAGAGGTGTATTTTCGTGTCATAAATATCCACTTCAACCACTTTATACTAATCTATAAACAGCAATAGCTAAACTTTTTTTGTAAATATAAGTTTTTTCACATGAATATTTCTAGGAATACTCACACACAAATCTCATAGGAAACAATTTGTTGGTATCCTTTCACATTCACAATGAACTTCTGTTTCATTTTTGCATCGAAGGCAATCAATGGGAGTTTTGAAACTCTCCTGGTCCTACACACGTTAGAATCTATATATTCGTCAACACTCTTGATTCGTGGAACAATTTCTTCTGTGGGTTTTATTACATTTCCTGAAAGATGAGCGAACTTATTTTTATTTCTCTTGATCAGTTTCATTATAGCTGTCTTAGGGTAGAAAGTCGTATTTGTGCAGAGCATATCTGTGTCGCAGATACTCTTTTTCGGTATGAATTTTTTCTTTATCGTCGTTTTCGTTTTCATCGTGTCGCAATTTTCGATCTGCAAAAAAATTTTGAAATCATCATTTAAAAATTCAGAGAATTCACTAGAATGAAGATTACGAATAAGAAAATTTTGGCAGTAGAAGGATTGTATGAAAAAATCTGATCAAAAATCAATAACAAAATATACAGGCATATTCGGAGAGATCCATTCAAACATTACATATTTGAATAATATTCAATGTGAACTACTTATTCACTTGTATTCACTTCTCAAAATCCTAATTCGATTTACCTCGTTAGATTCCATATCATCCATATACAAAAAGATAACTTTTCATACACCTAGACCTCAATGATCAATGTTCACATTACACAGGCCTAGTTTTCAACACGATTTTATTAGCTTCACTTGTATATTTGTCTGTAACTCGATTTTGACCAACTTCAATCGAACAGATTTATTTTAAACTTTGTACACTTATCAAGAATCGGTGACAATACAATTATTTCATAAGTTTATCTTAATATCCTGATCAGTATCGCCAGGCTTGAATAATTTCCTCACACAGTCTCTGTGTGAGAGCAAGTGAGACAACCTCACTGATTGCGCATGCGTATATATTTTATATCAAAGCAAATGGGCTTGAAAAAGCAAGCCAAACTAATAAGTGTGAAATGAATAATAGTTAAAGAAACTAAAAAAAAACACGATTCAATAGCAACACAAACCAAAAAATAAATAATGATTCGATACTAATTTCAGATTATGTTTAACATCGATAATTAAGTCCTATTGCTTGATGTAAATAATGACTTCCCATAAGTCTAAGCTCAGAATAAATCATTATTGATTAATAACAACACTTCCAAAATACATATCATGAAATTATAAAACAACAACAAAAATTAATTGGCGCTCCGGGACGACTTCATTGATTCCAGTGGCGCATTCAGAGTTCAGTTTTAATCTTCCTCTTTGAAGATGATCACTTGGTGATCGAAACACGTGTCGAGGTGTTAAAAATGACGATTTGGTGTTGGGAAAAAACTCCAGTAATATTCATTACTACACCAAAGGTTCCAAACAGTGCATCATTAATAGAAGAATTATTTTGTTGCAAAAATGCTAAATATCCATTGATATAAATACTTGGTTGGAGCCATAATAAAAATTCAATTTGAAGCATACTACGCTTTTTAAAACAATATTGATATTTCAGACTTATCAAAAGTCACTAGTTACATCAAGCAATTGGAGTTATAATCGATATTGAAGGCAATCTCAAATTAGTTTCAATAATAAATAATAATTAACTCATGAACTTCAACGCTTTTTGAATCCAAAATAAAAATTTGGATATGGAACGCACCGAAAAAAAAATACATCATCTATTTTATATGAAGAATCACTGATATATTAAAATATATCGGGCAATGTTCTGTCTTTGTTTCTGAAACATCTATTTATAGACTGTATCCAATATTACTATCCAATACTAAAAGTAAGGAAACGTCATTTTGAAAGTATAATTTTATTGAACTCGTTTATGATTATGTGATCGCTTATATGTGTCTGTTTTTTATTTTACTTTTAATCTATTTGGTGTCACCTTTTTTTTGTAAACTGTGATTTTGAATCTTGTTTTGTCTATTTCCAAATCAATAACCAATATTCACGTAGATGCTTTCCTTTTGTGTGTTTTCTTTATTTATTTACCACATTAGTTATCACGATTAAACTATAATCAATTATACAGGGTGTAACTAAATAAGTGTAAAACATTCAAGGAGGTGATTCCTCATAGAAAAAAAGATAGAATCTTTTATATAAAGAAATTTAATTGGAGCATCCCTCGTTAAGATACAGCCCCTTAAAGGGGGTACATAAAATTTGTATGAGAATTTTTTTCACAAGCACTAAAAAAGTTACAATATTGAAATTAAACTGAAGTTTTGTACTACCAAGAAGATACTCAGCCAGAAATTTATTTGGTTTACCCCATGGTGGTAAGGGGTGGAAAACGCAACCCCTAAAATTTATTTCCATTGTAACTTTCTGTCTTATTATTTGTTTACCATTTAAAAATTNTGTACCTACCCCCTTTAAGGGGCTTTATCTTAACAAGGGATGCTCCAATGAAGTTTATATGAAAGATCTTATCTTTTTTTCAATGAGGAATCACCTCCTTAAATATCTTACACTTATTCAGTTACACCCTTCATATGACTCTGTATTTTACGAGAATATTACTGTGTATTTCAATAATAAATTTTTGTACTTTTTTCTTAGTAAATAAATAAATATTATTATCAGATTATTATGTATGTTATACATTAATACATACAAGAATTGAAGTGATATTTTTCTTTATGTGTTTTATAGTCATGTATTATCTTCTGTCCATTAGGATAGAATATAAACGTTGGCAATAGTTAATATACCAAATAAGTATAAGTTGATTGATAAAGTATGATGCCGAGCTGCGACTACAGAATATCTCAATATTGAATAATAAAATTTGAAGGTCTCTACGCAATATGAACTCATTGTATTCATACTCTAGTTCCTTATTATATGTGGTTTCTATTTCTTGAAAAAGAAATAATTTCACAAGCCTTCAGAACCACAGGAAATATTCTCCTGACAACAAAAAAATTTACAAAGACGCGTGTTTTGTTAACTAAGTTATCATCAACAGGAGACGACTAGAAATCCTGACAGAAAACTTTTTTTCTGTCCTGGCATGAAATAGATTTCAATAGATTTATTTATCATGTCAATGAAATAGATTGGATTTTATAAAATCAATATTGATGATTTCACATCGCCTATGGTTCTTTATCCCAATATTTTATCGAAGGAAAACAGATACCGAAATGTTTCACAAAACATGAATAGTACACGTTTTGAAAATATCATGACAAATATTACAAAATTGCTTGTTTAGAAACTTCCTAATTTAAAATAACCGCAAACAAGTATCATTTCTTAAATGGAACTTTAATAAAAGATCGAATATTTTCACTGGAGATACAAGTTTATAGTAACTATCATTGGTTATTTCGATACAAAAGAATATTCTTTAATTTGAGGAAATTAACAAAAATTTCAGAATGAATCATGGAATCAGTTAGAATCCATCTGCTTTAAATATATTCAGAAAACTTTATAAAGTAAGTACAAAATTTCTGTTGTCGACTTAAATTTTCACATAGAAAATTCGAGCATTAGATCGCTAAAACTTCAGACAATATTACTTCCGTTTATCATTGTATAAAATAATGAAATGCGAAACACCTCCGACTTCATACAAAAAACTAATACCTAGGTTAACTCTTCATTAATCTAAATATAAATTTAAACGTCATAACTTTCAACAATTACCGTATTGTAAATCAATACATTAGATGAATTTAGCATTTGAATAAGTATGTTTTTTTCATCATTATTTTATCAATTATACAAGGTTAAGTGGAAAAATGTCTTCAGGCTAAACTCTGTCTATTTTTGTACTGAAAAGAAATAAAGATGATTCATTGTCATTATTATCATTATCATTATCATCATCATGTGGACACCCCGTTGGTGTCCACATACTACAAATTTACTTAAAAACTCATTCATCTAGTAGATTTTTCAGAATGTTTTTCAACCGTAAACCCTGATTCACTATATTTCACTGAAGGAGAGCAATTCACTTCGAACAGGAAACACAACTGGTTAAAGGAACAGTAGTCCGGTAGATATGAAATATATTCCACAATAAATTCACTCAATAACTTCACTCGAAATGCTACGTGTGCAATTATCCAACACTGAATACACAATAGGATACAGCAGGTACTTACTAGTAAAAAGGTGCAAATAATTGCACACAAATATTTTCGATCCATCTGTCTTGGATTTTCGTTCGATACTATCAATCTATTCGAGATGTTGTATTTAAAAGTTTGCTGAAAAACCGCGAGACGCTTCACGTCATTCTTAAAAAAGCAAAGCGTCACTCCATTACTCTAAGTGGGATTGCCGTTTCCGTTTAAGCATTACCAAATCAATTAATTCGCGAAATAACTTCACGATCTTCACCTGAACGATATTGTTTGGAGACTAGGAATAAGTTTATATTCATTTGTGTTATAAATGTGGTTGCTGTTTACATATTGGGATGTGGAAATAAGATATATATTCGTGACTGAAGATAACTTTCATTTATTTTCATCACTTTCTGGTGGCTCCTTCAAAAACTTCTCTTGAAGAGATTTGCAAGTAGTTGAATGTAATGGTACTGTGTTTATGTTGAAAATGAGTATGAAAATAAAATGAACACCTAAGGATAATGCTAGAGATGAGCAGAAACTATAAAATCAAACTTTGAAAATTCAATCGAAAGTTGATGAACCAGTTTTAAAATGATTCAACTCAAAACATTCGATAATGAAAAAGTTCAAAGATATTGTTTCATTTTACAATTACCAATTTTCATACATTAATCATTTTCCCGAAATACATAAGCTAGCAATCACTAGTACACCATGGTTAGGAACAATGAGCGACCGATTTATAACACAGACATAACAAATTTTTCGAATGGATTGATAAGTCGAATGAAAAACCATTGGGATACATATCAATTTCACAAATTCATCGAAGATCAACGTATGGTGAACAAGCGTTTGCTAGGTTTGCTAGTTTCATTTAGTGTCACAACTTCATTTAGTAATATTTTCAGCAAATTACCTTTGAACTGCATTCAAAAATGATGAAACAATTTTGAAAACAAATATTTTTTTCCATAATTTCATGTACCAATCTTTAGGAAACTTCCATATCTAATCTATAAAAATGAATGTTTGTTGGTTGGGCTGGTTTGTTGGTTGGTTGGTAAGTGATAAACTTCTACATCGCTCAACCGATCGTGATGAAACATGACATGTATAGGTAATTTTCCATAGAGAAGGTTTTTGGGCTATCAATTTTTCTGTAACTTGCCACTAGATGGCACTGTAGAACAATTTTTTGAAAGCACTGTTCTATAACGCTGCGCACGCCTTAGTTCGTTGATTCTGAATCTGTCAATACATTGGAACAGCAGCGATACAGCTACATAGTACTAGTAAATTATAATTCAAATTATCATGAATAACAAACAAAAAAATAATTTACATCAATACCAAACTTACGAAATGCCTCGAGGAGGATTTTTATGACACATAAACCGGATGATTTAAGTATATATAGCTTTCCCAAAGATTAATTCAATGGATCTAGCAAGTGCTTAGCATAACATTGATTGTAAAAATTATGAGGCTACATACCGGAAAAAAACAGCAAGATCTAAAATTCATTTGGCTAAATATATCATCTATCTTCTACCCAAGATGCTATTATTTTTCTCACTTCCAAAATAGCAGAAAATCTAGAAAAGAGTAAACCAAGTCTATATGTTTTTTTAGATTTTGCTAAGGCCTTCGACACCTTGAAGCACTCACAACTGTTGGTGACCTTGCAAAATATGGGTTTCAGAGGAGACACATTCAATCTCTGGGAGAGTTATCTTAAAGACAGAGAGCAATACGTGGAAATCGATAACGTCGTCAGTGAAAAAAAGGATTGTGAAATACGGAGTACCGCAAGGAATAGTTTTGGAGCCAATTCTCTTCACAATACATATCAATGACATATTACGACACAATACTTGTGGCAGCATCGTTTGCTTCACTGATGATACAGCAGTATTTTACAGTGCTGATAGCTGAAATAACCTCAAAACTAAAGTAGAAGAAGACATAAGTAAACTCTTTGAACGCTTCGCAGATAAAATACTATCGATTGATCGACCTCAGACAACTTCACTTCCTATGAACTGTTGTGGAACAATACAAAAAAGGAATAAAACTGAACTATGTAGATCACAAGTACAATACAAGATTTAAAACCAATAACTGAACACGACATGCTCAACAAAAACAATCGTTCAGAGAATATATTATATTCATCTTGCAAACCGGCACTACAATTACTTACCTCTGAGAACCAGACTTGCACCGACAACTATTTCATTTGAAAAATATGTCAAATGTTTCATTTCAGAAACATATTTCTATACATCGATTAATTGATCCCTCGAATACATGAAATGCGATCATTTGCCTTACTATACTTACCCAGAGAAAATGGGTTCATGTTCATATTCCTTATATTTCTGTATATTTTTTCTTATGCTCCATTAACCGTATACATTACTTAAGTGTTCCTTAAATGCTGCAAAAATGTGTATATATTTACGAGACAAATACACTATTCAATGTTTAATGTCACTACTACACTCTTTTTTTTTGATATTATACCTATAATTATTCAATAACCATACACGATGAAACAACACTCACGCCCAGATAAGGCCTTAGTAATTGTTCCTCCATCACTAAAATTATTTATGAGCACTGTTGAACACTGTTGAAACTACCTACTAAAATAGGAACTAGTGAAGTGGAAGATTCATTGGCCAAATATTTGTATAATATTCTTTGTATCACTAATATTGTGAAATCATGGCTAATAATGGCACATTTTACAGCCTAACATTTGTTGTAAGTCCTATACTCTTTAGATGTTTGCATTTTCATTTCAACATTTACCATTTTGATTTTTTTGCATTTTATTTGGATTCAAAGAGTAGTTTACTTTTCCTGCTGATGGAATTATTACTCTGGAACAATGAACATTTCACAAACAATCAATTGAACAAATTGCATTTGGTGTATTTTTCGCATTCTGATAGTGAAGGAAGATTTTTATTGAAAAAAAGGTTGGTTGGGTAACAGCAACAATTGTTATATTTGTTTTCTTGCCGACGTTTCGAATTCATTTAAACTCTTCTTCAGGGTTCGAAAAGTAGTTTTTCTTGTTGATAATATTACTATTTTAAATACCATCAGACACATTAACTAGGTACATTTAAAAAAAAAGTAAAAAACATTGCAAACAACATAAATTTCCGAGACAACACCAACACAAAACGACATAAAACCAACGAATTCATAAAAATTCATAGGAAACATTGCAAACAAACAAATGCATCCGTTTGTTCTTATGTCGTTTTATGTTGGTGTTGTCTCGGAAATTTTGTTTGTTTGCAATGTTTTTTATTTTTTTTTAATGTGTATCTAATATGTCTGATGGTTTTTAAAATAGTAATATTATCAACACGAAAAAACTATTTTCGAGCCCTGAAGAAGAATTCAATCAAATTCGAAACATCGGCAAGAATACAATTGGTTTTGTAAGAAAAAATTATTCCTGTTACGCAACCAAAGTTTTTTCAGAAAAATTATTGGATCACTAAACTATTAATTAATGATTTTTATTTCTGAAACGTTGAAATGAGTATTTATAGATATGTCAATATTTTTACAGGAAAAATTCAATACATATTGGAAATCATCGAGAATAGAGGAATCTCTCGATATTGTTATTGGTTGAAATTGTTTTGGTTGAAAATGCATCAATAAATATACTAAGAAATAGATCATAATTTAAATGACATCACACACTGGAAGAAGTTATTCTGGAAGTTATTCTTCAACTGCCCATAACTTCTTATCCATGAATAAGTTTTGATAATTCGTTCACACTTTTGTCGTATTTCACCTAAATTTTTGAGTTATCTCAATGTTGCATCATTGCATCATTGACAATGATCAACATTAACAAATCGTAAAATTTACGTAGCCTATAATTATCAATTTGATTATGGAAGTGTATGTGAACCCGTTAAAGTTTCAAATTATGAAAAATTCTCCACATGGAATGAAATGTACACGAAAAATCATGTTTGGAAATAAGTTCTATATCTGAAATCAGTACACAAAGTCGATAGATCACAACTATGATTTTATGCATTATCTGATAATATACAGTTATGAAAATCAAAAAATATAGCAAACTGGATTAAAGAATCATTTAAAATATTCAATTTATTCTATAATCCTCAATCTGTACAACTGCAATTTATTATAAAAAAAGCGATTTCTACATACATACCTCTTTCTGATATAGATACTAAATTCAAGCGTTATAGGCTCGCTTGGGTAATCTGTTGAATCTTTCAAAATTTGAGAGAATAAGGTCAAGTATAGACAGTATTGATTGTACTCGAACTGATCCAACAAAAGCTCCTGAGGTAATAATACCATTATTCATATGATAAAGTTTAATTATATTTGTTTCATATTTTCAGTAACAGGATCAACTCCAGATAATATTCAAAGTTGAAATAAAAAACTGTTTAATCAAATTCAATATTTTCGTTCCACTTTGGGAACCTAAACTCATTATATGAAATAACTCACTTATAAACCAATGCGCTTTCTGTTTTCTTGTGCCTTTCCACACAATTAAAGTCACAAGAATGCACCATATTAATATTTAAATATATCTCCAAAACACTTTTAAAACATACACACACTAAACTCGAATGAAAAAACGAATTGTTCCTACGCGAGCTGTCAGCTAAGAAAAAATTGAAACTCAATGTTGCAAAAACAAGCAGACTGGATCCGATGTGACATATATTTTCAATGTCGAATCAACCAACAAATTGTAATATTGGGACTCCATTTTCCTGAGGAAGTGAACGATCAATTAAAATCTTCTGTTATTATTCATTCATTTTTTTTAAGAATAAAGCCAGCAAACAAATTAGTATACAATAATAAGATCGCTCGAATAAAAATGGACAATAATATTTGGCTTGATAACTGATAGTACAAGTTATATCTAAATATCATTCGAAATAGAATTGAACGAGCTGTATTTTCAAATGGTTTTCGAATGCTCATGAACCCTAATAAAATAAATCAATTATGCATTCATGCCAACCACCAAAAATAAGAAATTCAACGTTACTGGTATATTAGCCATATTGTCATCCAGTCAGCCAGCGCCCTCTATAGTGTATGCGACAATGTGCTCTTTCTAATGTCAATGGTTTCCACAAACTTCATATTTTTGTTAAAATAATTTCAAAATGAATGTTGAGTCTAGTTTTGTTAAAGCTGACTCCCGACAAATTA